ACAGTTTATGCTGTAAAGTCGGGAAGACTGGCGGTGTTCCTTAAAAGCTACAATCGTTTGAATATTTTCAGACAAGAAGCGAATAAAAATCAATACAACGCAACTTATAAATGTGTCTTGTACGCAAAGCCGGTTAGTGATACAGGTCTAGTTTATTTTTATTATTCCTTCGTTTGCACTCACTGCTATCTAGTTAGTTATTTGTAGGAAGAGGAGGAGTTTGTCTCATTGCATTGAACATGACATTTTTTCCTGGAGTGTGACACCGCGGGTTTCCGCGATTGTACATTTACAGTACTATAATCAAACGTACCCTAATAATATCTTATAATTGTTGATAACAGACTAGAATAAGGTTAGTGCGGGGAGCTGGTGAGTGGTCGGTTTACACTGATAATGTGCTGATCGGTGAATTGGAGCACCGCGCGGCGCCCGACGGCGTGAAAGCCTTGCGTATACGCGGTGACATCTACCCTGAAGATATTTATGTTTGTCCGTCTACATCCTCGCCTGTACAAGAAAAGTAAAAAATATAAAAAGTTATATGAAAATTATGTTTACTGCGCTATATCGAATCTAGTGATGAATCCCGATGTATTTAGCTTTAATTTTTTTAAATACTTTTCAAGTACAATATATGTATATATGATGTTATGTTTGATAGTTTTGTATGTATTTATTATTTGATTTAAGTTAAATCTTTTTTATATTGATCGAATGAATTAAATTTAATTTTTTTACGTTATTAGATGTATTATAAATCTGAAATGATGTATTTAACTCGTGCCATGTCTTTTAATGTTAAAATTGTCGCATTCAGCTTTGCAAAATAATATATGGGTCAATTTATATTACTTAGAATATGTACTTACACTTTATAGTATGTTTGAATTCATTGTTTTTATACTTGAAAGAAATGTACGTAACTTTTTTTTATATTTTACAATATTGTATTAAAAAATGTTAACTCTTCTTTAAAGGTTTAAAATAGTTACTTAATGAAAACAAATGTATCCTCTCTTAAATCGTTATTCTATGGAAGCTGTTCAGCTTTATGCACTTAGTTGTTTAAGAAAATATGACAATGCATTTTAAATGTAATAATTATATGTTGAATAATAATGGAATAAGCAGTGCGAATATAAGAACCTAAGCGTGCATTTTATATGAAAAATATACATTTATTATACGATAAAAGCATTTTGTTTTTTCATACCTAAGTGGAATTAAAACTTAGGTATAAGTTTTTTCTTTAATAGAACATGGTATTGTAAAATTGATATTGTAATTAGGTGAATTACATGAAATGCAGTGTGTCTTTTAGTACACCAAAGTTAATTGTTTTGGAGAATGTGCTATAATATATCCTTTGAACTACATAATTACACTGTTGTTTTATAATCTCCATTTCTTTCAATTTAATTGTTGTTGTTGTGTTGTTTGAAATTATACTTATTCTTCTTAGTTTTTCGTTAATAAAAACGGATCAAGAAGTAGAAAAACGAATTATTTAACGTTTAGGAGAGCATAACAGAAAGATGAATAATGCATTTTGTGTGCTTTATAATCTATATTTTTTCTCATGTCAATGTCAGCTGTCAATGACAGTTTAAACTGTCAAAATAAATCCAAATTTCAAAACAAAAAATTGCATATTTGAGCAATAAGTATCGTTTAAAATAGGCAATTAATCTGGTCTAGATCATTTAATGTCTGTATTTGCCTCGGATTGAGGTCGCATGACCCTATTGAGCCTAGATTTAATTCTGTTAACGCTTAGCGGTCAAGCTTATATATTTGACCTTCTCAAGGTGACCGATATCGCATCTTGGTAGCTCAGTCAGTCGGTCTTAGGCAGCCGTAGGAGATTGTTTAGTATTAAATTAACTGGATCAAGATGAGCGTTCAAACGGATTCCGAAAAGCGTAAGCAGATCTCTGTCCGCGGCATTGTCGCCGTGGAAAATGTTACCGAAGTAAAGAAGGCGTTCAATCGTCATGTTCATTATACTTTGGTAAAAGATCGTAATGTCGCTACACCAAGGGATTATTATTTCGCCCTGGCACATACTGTCCGTGACCACCTGGTCTCCCGCTGGATTAGAACCCAGCAGTATTATTATGAAAAAGATCCCAAGGTAAGACTAGCATAGTATTTATTTTATGTAACTCATAATCTACCTACAAATAAGCGACATGTAATTGATTGTTTTGTTAAACTAAGACAATAATCCTTGAGTTGCAAATAAAGTAAATTATCACACTAATAGAGAATTTTATAAATAAATTGTTTTTATAAAATAATAAGATCCAGCAAAACCCATAAAAAAGATACCCATTATTTTTAGACTAACAGAATAATTCTTTCTTGATTTAACAAAATTTTTTAAATCCATTTCTCAAGCAACTTACATTTAGCATATTTTCTTTTTAATAGAGAGTCTACTATTTGTCCTTGGAGTACTACATGGGCCGTTCCCTCCAAAATACCATGATAAACCTGGGCATCCAAGGAACTGTGGACGAGGCTCTTTACCAGCTTGGATTAGATATTGAGGAGTTAGAAGAACTAGAAGAAGATGCAGGTCTGGGTAATGGAGGTCTTGGACGTCTGGCCGCTTGTTTCCTCGATTCCATGGCCACCCTTGGACTGGCTGCTTATGGTTATGGTAGGTATTGAACTCAGGTATATATTTTTTTAAGAAAATGTATATTGTTTTTTCATATTTTCAAGTTAGATGTATATGTATGTGCAATATTTTAAAACTACCTTCTTTGCTCCTGTCAAATTTAATAGTTTATCTGTAGAAATATTTGTTGAGAAAGTAATATGTAAGACAATTTAAAAAGGATGTCTTTGGATATCTAGACTTTAGCTGTTAACAATTTGTTGTTATAGTTATGTTATTCATAGACTTATGAATGGCGATTACCATCTTTTTACTACACATTCATTGCTTTAATTTTTTAAAATAATTATTTACATATCAAAATTTATTTCTGTTTGAAAGCAAACTAATTTTTAAAAACATGAAGTTATATGCATGTCAATTACTTCATGTAATTTATATTGAATAGATTCCATTCATTTATCATTTATCAGTTGACTATTTATCTTACACTAACTGTTGCTCCCGACAATTTCCCCTGCAAATTATTTTTATTAAACAGCCTATGTTATTCATAGAAAACATAGATTCTGAACGATGAAAGAATTATAGAAATCGGCCCGGTAGTTTTTAAGTTATATCAATACATACAAAAAACAAATTTTTCCTCTTTATACTAGTATAGATAACCTATATACCTTCTGCCTGTAAGCATAAACATCATAAGCCTAGCAACATCTCTTATCTTTCTTATATACTTTCATAACAGGAAAAGGGATTAACATAATACAGATATGAAACATTACACTATGACCTGTAATTTCAATATGTTGAGAACAATTCCTTGAGAGTTTTGAAAAACCAACATAAAACATAGAAAATGTTGTTAGAGAACATGAATGACTAATTCCAAGCTTTACAGCAAAATTTAATGATTGAAGAATTTTGAAAATAAGTTTAACAGTTTTTGAGTGTTTTTTAAACCGTAAATCATAGCTTTTCGTTCTAAAACATAAGAGAGTATGTTCTTATATGCCAGTTTGTATAAAAATTTGGAGACAAATTAATAAAATATCATTTGTCTGAGAACAGGTACATGTTAAAAGCAATTGAAGCTAACAAAAGCAATGCTGGCTCATCGCCAGTTATAAACGGACTAATTGAGTCTCCACGAACATCGAAACGTTTGTATAAATATCAGTCGTAAATGGGGTCATTTAAGACGAAACGTTTTAAAAAATTAAACACCCTCTATGTGTTCTGCCAACGCGTTTATTGTTATTATTAGAATTAATTTCTGATAAGCAAATACGTAGGACGTTCACCTTTTAATGCGATCATGAGAATACGAAAACTAATCTATGTCAATATTTAAATCAAAGTGCAGGACGATTTTATTCTACCATCAAGATGAGTTAATCCACAATAGGTTATTGTACTATACATGATTTGATTCTATGATTGAAACTATAAAGTGACTAGTTTATCGTTCTTGCTTATTGCAAAGGGAAATCCTAAGCTATGTTATGCTATATTGATATGTTTGTAAAAAAATCTACAATTGTGGTCTTAATATACAAACAATCGATTTCAAAGTTTCTAAAATGCAATTTAACCTTCTTTTTAATAAGTAAATTACTAAAACTAGTCTCAATTATTAAAGAATCATTTTATATGCATATTTATGCGAGATAACGAGTTAAGTTTCTCGTTTTGTTGAATTTCACCTGTGATAATAATTTAAAAACGTACTATATATACAGTCATCTGTTTATTTTCATTACAAACAAGTCGATCGGTTTACATAACACAGTATCTTATTTAAAACAAAACAAATTTATGTCGTTATTATAGGTATAAGATACGAATACGGTATCTTCGCTCAGAAGATCGAGAATGGTGAGCAACAGGAGGAACCTGACGACTGGTTACGGTATGGTAACCCTTGGGAGAAGGCCCGTCCTGAGTTTATGCTGCCAGTTAACTTCTACGGCCGCGTGGTTGATACTCCTCAAGGAAAGAAGTGGGTAGACACACAGGTAAGCTTGCGATCTATGCTATTCCCCAAGAGTAGAGCCAGTAGCTGTTGTCCTAAATAGCCCGTTTGACCGAAAATAAGTTCGACCTCACAGAAACATCATGGAGTTTCGATTGTTCATTTTTCTTCTTAATATGGATGTTTAGCCTTGGTTAAGTTACTTCAGGTGATAAGACTAGCCATCTTTTACCGTACATGAAATATATAATACGCTGTTTATGAAGTGCTCCTTTTGGTCGACGGCCAAATATGAAAGGATTTAATAATAAATTTCGCAAGAAATATACATTACGCTTGTAACAACGTTGGCTTTCATTTGGTAATGTCAACGCTTTTACCTTTAATAATTCTGATATAGTACTTGTTTAGATGTAAATAGCAATCGGTTTTCTTATCCAAGTGTTTAGATTGTACACCAATCGACGGAACTAAATGAAAATCGAATAGAAAAGTCGATGCATAAAGACATTAATTGATGTTGATCTGTTTTACATTTAATTAATGTTGTTGAAAACATGAATATGTAATCTTGTTTTGTTTTTTATTAATAAAAATACAAGTTATTAATGTCACAATAATAATGGTTGATTAAGATGTGTTTATATTTCTGTTATGGTTCATTAACTGCTACCTTTTTAAACGAACATGCATTTCGGTTGACTGTGTGTTTTGACTGTCGAACTACATATAAATTTAGGGTTATTACGAATATTTCAGTGACAGTTGTGAGAACATATCTGTAACGTCATCGAAAAATCTGTATGGTATTTCACGACTGGTAAGGGTAGCACAAATCTATTACGAATTTTATCGATGTAGTGACAAATATGTTCTTCTGAATATCCCTGATAAGCCCTCTGAACAAATTTTGTGTCATGTTTATGGAAATTGTAATTCTGAATCCCTGACCACCCTTCGAGTTCGGGAGCTTAAAGTATCTATTAACTTTGTTTACTTTGTATAACAAATATGCTGTTATTTATCTTGCTAATACATTCTTATTTTGGTTTAGTGTAATGATGTATCTTGTTCCTTACAGTAAAATAGTAGTGATTTAAAGGTGTCAATTCATGTAGGTGGTGTTCGCGATGCCGTACGACAACCCCATCCCTGGTTACAATAACAACGTGGTCAACACATTGCGCCTCTGGTCCGCCAAGAGCCCTATCGACTTCAACCTCAAGTTCTGTAAGTCAAAAGATTCAACATAATACTTAAAATGTCAAATTATTATAATGTAACACTAGATAATCCTAATCATTTTTTTATCTCATATTTTAAGTTTTGATAGTACTAGTACTGCATACTTTTGTTATCTTGATTGATTTAATGTATATTTTTTTATTTCAGTCAACTCCGGAGACTACATCCAGGCCGTGCTGGACAGGAATGTTGCGGAGAACATCTCGCGCGTGCTCTACCCCAACGATAACTTCTTCGAGGGCAAGGAGCTGCGTCTGCGCC